AGAAGAGGAAGAAAATAAAAATTAAAACAAACTCTAAATAAACAGCTCAAAAGGGGGCCAACTGCAAATAGTGCTCCATTACAAGCTACCCTGCAATAACAAATATTTTAAGGGTATATACAAAAAAATAAACAAACTGCTTTCTTAGAGATTTTGTGTATTTCAGCTGGGTTTGAGCCAGCGACCTCTCGCTTTTTGGTATTAAATTGTAAAACAAAGTTTATTATCTTCAATTGAGGTTAAGATACAAATTTATACATTTCTATACCTATGAATTCTATTGTAACCCAGGCTGGGTTTGAACCGGCGACTTTTCGCTTCTCCGATCTACATATTAAAACAAAATTTACGAAATGTCGTTGATTGAAAAAGATGTAAATTGTATATACTTCGATATTTTTTTTTATTTACTGCTGGGTTTGAACCGGCGTATTATCATTTCTGGGGTCTAAATTTTATATAAAATTTATAAACTCTAAATATTAAAATACAAATCTATACATTTGAATATTTTCTTTAATTGCTGCTGGGTTTGAACTGGCGACTTTTTGCTTGCTGGTTTCGAACGTTCTTAAACTATTCGTTAGTCTCATAAACTTTTGACTAGTATTAGCATACCCAATTGTTTATATGTTATGGCAACAGGGCATAAAAAACCTTGCATTATGTTTACACAAAAGTCACGCCAAAGATTTTGACCTTTTTCTTGGACGTTGAGCTGTTTTTTTTTTTTTTATGGCACAGCCATAAATTAATTATAAACAAGCAAATTTTTATATTTAAACTAAATAAGCAGAGTAAAAACAAAAGCAAAAACAAACCAAAACCAATTCGTGCCATAATGCAAAGGGGCGTGGCCTTCAATTTGGAAACTTTCAAAGAATCAAAACGAGAACATGAACGTGCCATTCGAAGGCAGCTGCAGTTAGATGCAATTAATTTTAAGTTAATTTTATTAATATTTGTTTTGTTTTGTTTTGTTCTTTTTTGCAGAAAGCAATCGCCGCTGTGCTTGGCAAATTGTCGGAGCAGCACGTGCGCTAGGATGAAGGCAAATCGCAACGATTTCGGGCACAGCAACTACCGAGGGAACTATTGAGGGGAGAAATCATTTGAAGCCGTGCAACAGCAGCCGTAGAAGTAGACGTAGACCTAGCCGTAGCCGTAGACGTAGCCCGAGTGCAGTGCAGTCTGCAAGGCTGGTGTTTGGAATTGGCTTTTGAAGCACTTCATGGATCGCAGAAATGGCGGCGATCCCTTGGCGCCACCCCGGCCCCCAAAGCTGCTACCGCGCGTGCATCGACCAAGGGCGCCGGAGCCAACAGCGTTAGGTGGCGACAACAGCAGCAGCAGCAACAGCAACAGCAACAGCAGCAGCAGCAGCAACAACAATCCGAGTATTAGCACAAACACTGCAACACTTGCAACAACAACAGCAACAACAACCAGCAACAACAACAACAACAACAACAACAACACGATATCTATAATACCGACAACGGCGGACTTCGACGACTATCAGATACATCATCTGACATTTCTGCCGCAGCGTCCGAGCAGCCTCAGCCGGAACAGCAGCAACGCCTCCTCCTCGACGGCCACGGCGAACAGCAGCGCTGGTTCCACCTCCAGCTTTACGCGTCGCCGTCCGCCCCCGCCGCTGCTGACGCCCGTCGGTAGCAGCAACAGCAACAACAACTTCCTTAGTCATTTCCAAAGCGCTGAGCCCGTGTCGGCACTGTTGTCAACGGGTCAGCCGCCCGCCTCCCCCGTCACGCTGGCGCAACCGCGACCCGAATCCGAGAGGCTCACCAATGAGTATGTGGACACGCCGCTGCAGCATGCAACGCGCAGCCAGCATCCGGCTGGGCAGCAGGACAATGGCCAGACAACGACGCATCATCTGCTGCTGCTGCCGCAGCGGCAGCATCAACAGGTGCATCATCAGGCACCCGGCGGAGCGATCCACGCACAACATGCCCATCATCACATCAATCGACTGGCGACGGTGGCCACCTCGACGTCGGCGTCAACAGCGACAGCGGCAGCGACAGCGACGGGCATCGATGGCACCGACGGCTTATTACATTCGCATTTGCACCACACTCCCGCGCAGCATCATCCCCAGCAGCAGCAGCAGCAGCAGCAGTTAAATGGCCACACCAAAGCAACACCCGCCTCCAAGTTTGGTCCGCCGCCGCCGGCGCCACGCGGCGTCCTCGGTCTGGGCTTTGCGGCGGCAGCCGCAGCGCAGCCTTTGACGCAGCCGATCACCAAGCAGCCCGCCTCCGGCAAGGAGCACATGCACGCGCTGGAGGAGCTGCTCCAGCAGCAGCAACAGCAGCATCATCATCAGCAGCCGGGCGGCGGCGGCCAGCTGGGCGCGCCCATTGTGATGGGCGGAGATCCGTCGCTGCTGAATCCGATTGTCTGTCCAAGGTGTGGCATGTGCCGCTGCGAGCAGTGCCAGAGCCCGCGCCCGCTGCCCCAGACCTGGGTGTGCAACAAGACGTGCCTGTGCAGCGCCGAGTCCATCATCGACTACGCCTCGTGCCTGTGCTGCGCCAAGGCTCTGTTCTACCATTGCGCCCGGGACAATGACATGGACTGCGACGATGGCACTGGAACACCCTGCGTCGATAATCCCTGCTCCTGCGGCCCCTACAAGCGCACCCAGCGCTGGGGCTGGCTGGGCGCCCTCTCCATCGTGCTGCCCTGCCTCTGGTGCTACTGGCCCATGCGCGGCTGCATCAAGCTCTGCGAGAAGTGCTACGCACGGTTCGCGGGTCGCGGCTGCCGCTGCCAGGGCAACAGTGGCAACAGCTGCGGCTCCGGCGCCGGCGGCATCGGCTCCACCAGCAGCATGATGCCCATTGTGCCGCTCGGCGGCGGCGGCGGTGGCAGCCCCAACGTCAACGGCGGTGGCGTCTTGAATGGATCGCAAAATGGTGGACTTCAGGCGAATGGCAAGGGATTCGAGCATGGCTGCAGCGCGGCCAGCCGGATATTGCGCAAGGGCGATCTGACGCCAGAGAAGCGGCTGCTCGACTCCAGTCCGGACTACTAAGCATGGGCGCGTTTTGTGCGCGTTTTTTTCCGCGCGTAAAAAACGCGACACACGACGTAAGCTTAATTAAGGGCGGGACGCAGAGCGGGAAGCTTCGAAATTTAATTATATATACACACGCCTATATATACAAATATTAAATGTATGACTTAAAGATAAACGCCTATATATATATATATATACCGATATATATATATATACAAATATTAATTGTATGATTTAAAAGATATACAAACAACAACAAAAAATGTTTAATGTATGATTTAAAAAAAAAAGGAAAAGGAAAAAAGAAAAGAAAAGAAAAAATAAATAACCAAAGACTGCAAACAGATAATTATTAATTATTAGAAATGTTATTTAAAAAATAATGTTCGCTTAATTTAAACAAAAACTAATTCAAACAAAACTAAAAACAAACTAAAACTAAAACTAAAACGAGCAACAACGCATTCAATTGAAATGTGTTTTTTTTTTTGTTTTATTTTAATATATTTTGCATTATTAATTTTTGGCGAGGTTGTTTTTTTTTTTTATGTTTCAAAGTCAACTTTTTCTTAATGCAAGCAAATAATTCCAATGATATTTCGAGAACACCAATGAATACAGTCTGTAAAGTAAACCTAGCCGGAAACAAGCGAAAGGCAACTTTTAGATAAATATATATACCTAATGAAAACATACATACATACATACATACATACATACATACATACATACATACATACATATATATATATATTATATAGCTGAACACAAGACACCGCAACTAGGCAAACATTTTTAAGATAACAGTCCATTTTGATGTTGTAGCTAATGCAAAAAAAAAGAGTATTCAAAATTATGCACATTTTATGTCTATATACGATCTATATAGTAGCAGCAGCAGGAAGAAGCAGCGCAAATGCGGTACGAATTTAATGGCTAATATTATGTATCAAAAAAAAAAAAAGAAAAAGAAAAAGAAGCTGAGAAAAATGAATAAATTAAAAATATTTTGGTATTTAAGTCCAGCTAAAGATGTATCTTAATGTGCTTATGTGTGCGTGTGTGCGAGTGTGTGCGTGTGTTTGTGTGTGTGAGTGTGAGTGTGTGTTGTGTACATATGTGGAATCTAAAGTCAGTTGGCCATAAAAAAAAGTTTACTTTACTACAGGAAAATAAGCAAAAAAACAACAACAAAAAACTGATAACATAATTTTATAATAAATACTAAAAAAAAAAAAATGAAAAACAGATACGAAAATTAATTTCATATTAATGTATTTTATATGAAAATTGTTAGTTTTTTTTTTTTTTGTTTTTTGTACAAAGAAAATACTGAATTGTGCGCACAATTCCTCAACATATGCCTAGAAAATCAAGCAAGCAGCAAAATTAATATAAACAAAAACAAATGCAAGAAAAAATTCCAAATAACAAACAAGAACTAATTTAAAAATATAAATAAAACAAAGCCAAACAAATTCTTAAATACATTAATTTATATGCAGCAAAATAAAACAACAAGAACAATTTTATATACATATATATATATGCAAAACTAGAGAAAATAAAAAGAAAATCAGCAAAAATTAAGCTCCAAAATTTACACAAAATTAATGTTGAAAAATATACATACAAAAAAAAAAAAAATAAATAAAAATAAAACACAATTTACCATATGTTATAAATGTATATGTTATATTTAAGCTAATAGCTGAGTAATACACAAAACAAACATATACCATGCTTAAAACCTAACTATTAAATGAGATAAAAACGAAAAACAACAACAACAACAAAAAAAAGAAATCCAACAAAAAACATGAAAAACAAACTCCCTAAAGATAGTGAAGAGAAGAGTAAAAGTAGTAGAAGAAGAAGAAGAGGAAGTGAAAAGAAGAAGAGAATATTGAGTAAACAATTAATATTTAAGGCACTATACATACATACAAGCTATACATATAATGAATATTTATTTTATTTGTACATTTTACTATAATTAAATAAACTGAGTAGTCCGTTTTGGTGAATGATGCCGCCGCGTCGGGGCTTGACCGTGTGTAGACCCCCCGACGCCGACGACGTTGATGATGGCAGAACTTTATGTAATGTTTTTAGAATGTATGTTCCGTTAAAAACTACAAAATAAAAAAAAAATCATATAATACTAAATATTAACCGCGACTCTATTTTCAATTGCATACAAGTGCGTGTGTGTGAGTGTTTGTGTGTGTATGCAAGTGCGTGCGTGTGTGTGTGTGCGTTTGCCGCGTTGAAATGAACGATGACGTGGACGACGACGTCGACGTCGACGTCGACGCCGACGATGCAGCCGTCGCCTAAATCGCTGCTGTCTGTCTGCCTATGTGTGTGTGTGTTTGTGCTTGTGCGTGCATGTGTGTGTGTGTTGCTGTGCCAAATGGCTATGGCAAAATAAAACTAAAGCAGCTGTTTCCGGTATTTGATTGATAGTGAACTGGCAGTTTGTTTATCTCGCGCACACGGACCGACCGGAGACCCGCCTGCTGCTGTTGCTGCTCCAGCCGCAGCCACAGGCGCAGCTACAACCGATGCCGCTGACGCTGCCCCTGGCCATTTCTCTCTCACTCGATTATGCTGCACACGCATCACATGGCATGGATGGGCCAATCCAGTGGCAAACGTCGCTGCTGCCGCCGCCGTCGCCGCTGCTGCTGCTGCATTTTGCGGATGCTATTTGGGGCCGCTGTTCGTCGGCGCACTTATTTTTAAATTACTGAAAATGTTGCAAGCGCACACAAGCATGGGCACACACACACACACTCATTCAATTTAAATTTAACTGCAAAATATTTCACTCACACTGGAAGGGAGGCAGCAGCAATAATAACAGCAACAGCAGCAACAACAACAGCAATTTCTTGGCTTGCGCTCTCTCATCCCACACTCTCTCTCTCACACACACTCTCTGAGAGAACAGCTGTTTGCCTTGCAAGCTGAGCTTAGTTAGGCCTAAGCACGACACGACGTGTTGGACACGTGCAAGTTGTATGACAGCGGAGCAAAGAGTTTGTGTTTATTAGTTATTTCCATTTGCTGCTGTTGTTGTTGTTGTTGTTGTTAATTAATGCAAAGTGCAGTAACCGTTTTGCATAATTGACTGGCAAGCGACTGCGGCTGCGACCCTCGTTGTGGGCACATTATTCAATCATAATTCGCGCGGTCAGTCAAACCAACCCAACGCAAATTTCAAACGCTCTTCACTTGAGCGAGTGTCTGTGTGTGTGTGTGTGTGTGCATGTGTGTTTGTGTGCGTGCATGTTTGTCGCCGCTGATAGCCCCACAGTTCGCCGGGTCACCTTTGCCTATGCAAAAAAAAAAAAATAAAAACAAAATTTAACTGTAATCAGCGGCGACTTTGCGGCACACTACACACCCAACAAACAAACTGAGATGGCGAACGGGTCTGATAAGCGCACGAGACCTGCCAATTCGCTTCAAACTGGTCTTTGCCTCATCGCTGTCCTCGCCTCTGCCTCTGCCTCTGCCTCTGTCGCTGCCGCTGCCATTGTCGCTGCCTCCTATCTCTGTCGCTGTCGCTGATTGACACAGTTTGGGTCGCTTTCTTATATTGATGAATGGAAACCGAACTGAAACGTTGGCACAGCATTTTTTTTTATTGAAGTGTGCTATATTTAACGAAGCGAGTAGATGGCATGCAAGTATTGCCATTTGAGTAACTGTATTGGCTCGCCTGCTGCTCTCTCAATAACCGCAGCACACACACACACACACACACGCACACGCACGCACTGACAGCTCTAATGAATGAAGTTGATAAGAGACGAACAAAGTGAGCTGCTGCAACGGTTGCCAAGTGCCTTGCCATGGTAAATGGATTGAACGGGCCAGTTCGAATAACTGCAAATGCACCTCTTTATTTGCATGTGTGTGTGTGTGTAAATTGAGAGCTTTTGAAATTCGGCACCCAAAAGCTGAGATACTAACCGTAAATAATGCCAAATTGCAGCAGTAAACACAGATAAGTTCAGCTGCAGATTCGTGAATATAAATATAAACAATTGGAATATTTAGAAAATAAATAAATCTCAAGTATATCTCAACAAGTGCACACGAATATATACATACATATAAATTTATATAAATGTGTGAGTTATGGACTGTTCGACCTTAACCCTATTGCAAATCTATTGGAACGATCTTGAGTCGAAATATTATATGGAGATGCGAGGAAGCTAGCCAAACTGCAGGACTTAGCACAGGGTAAGTTTTCGGATGTGCATATTTTCTAAATCAAATTTATGATATAAGAATTTAAATATTGTGTTTGTTCTCTGAACTAACTGACTAACTTGTTCTAGTTAATCAGTTTAACATATTCTAACATAACATAACATAACATAACACGACATAACATAACATAACGTAATACAGCATAAGATAGCATAACATAACATTGCAAAACTTAACGTATTTAACATAATTTAACATAACATAACATAACTTAACATTATCACTTTAACATAATCAATCAACTATCTTTAGCTGCTTGTATCGTGCATACAAATTGGCAGCAGCTCATCTGAGCCCATGCAATTAGCTTAGATATTGCATCTTTTCTAGATATGTAGCCGCATATCCGTTATCGAGTCGGCTATCATTCAACTTTTGATCATTTCCGACAAGTTATACGCATTAGTTTGATGGCATCTCGCGTGGCATGCCACATTTGTTATCGACGGATGCGCTTGCAACACAATTACCGCTATTTGAGCTTCGGACGCTCCTCAGTGTCTGCTGCTGGAAGGTGTATCTCCACAGAGATTGGCCTTTGAAGCGAGCTGCTCTAATGAGCTTGAGCCGGGAAGCGTTATCAGTGACACACACACACACACACACACACACGCACAGGCGCACATATATGCAACACACACACACGCAGAGAGAGACATATGCATATTAAAGAGCTTTGCCGACATGCTGGAAGCTCCTGAATGACAGATCAATGAAATCATTATGAATTCGCATACGCATATCAACAGCAACCAGATTGTGTCTGAGCTCCGTGTGATCGTCATCCGATCTTATCCGGCCTAAGAAAAAAAACTTGAGTGCTCTAGTCGGCAGTGCTCGACTAGCATATACCCTGTGCCCAAAGTCAAGCTGTTGCTATAAACTTTCTTTAGTAATTCAGAAGTTTATTGTCCGAATCATATACAATTTTCAGTGCTTAAATATAACATAGGACGGATAGGACGGGAGAGGGAATCGGTAAGTGAACATTTTTGAGAGTAATAAGATCTTTATCTTTAGTAAAGGATCTATAGTTAAGATCTCTATATATATAGAGAGAGAGAGAGAGAGATCGATATGCTAGAATTATATTTAACAATACTTATTTTAAGATTTATATTTAGAGATATAATGGTAATTGAGGACAGTTATAGAGAAGAGAGAAGGAAAGAGAGTATGATAGGCACGAAAATATATTTTATATTTAAGTCTGTAGAGCTCTCTAGATCGAGTCTCAGTTTTACTTATTGACAGATATAGCTGAAGACACTCAGCTCGTCGTTATATGCACCTTAACCATTTTACAGGGTATAAAAACGCCAACTCACTTTGCCTGTCAAGAAACAGGTCTCCCAGACTCCACTGTAGGCTCTGATTGATCCTGCGCCTGCGCCTGGGCCTGGGCCTGGACTTGGGCCTGGGTCCGTGCAGCGGAAGTCGTCTGTGGTTTTGTATGCATTGCCCGTCGTTGCTCGAGCGTGTTTTTCGCCAGCTCGCTTTGATGTGCTTTCCGTGTCGCTGCAACAGGTGTAAACGAAATTCAACAAATACGCACATCCGTCCTGCAACGGAAGCACCTGTGCGCAGGTGTACAAGTGTGTATATTGGGGGTTGGGGTTGGGTTTTGTGAATCTTTGATTGTCTCGTTGTTCTTGTTGTTGTTGATGTTGTTGTTGGTTCGTCATTTCGGCAGTTAAATTTGTTTTTATTGTCGTGTTGTTGTTTCTGTTGTTGTTGTTGTTGTTGTTGTTGTCGTTGTCCATGTCCCGAGTCCGAGTGCGACAAATTCATTTGACACTTTGCGCGGCTGCCTTATCGCTGGCGTTGTTCAATCTTGAAACTGGAAACTTGTTTCGGCTGGAGCCGGAGCTGGAGATGGGTTTGGGCATGGGCATGGGCGGAGGTCGGATCGGATCTTGTCGGTTTGTTTGCCTTGTTGTCTATGTTGCTGCGAGTATATTGCGGTTGCTGTTGCCTCGACTCGAAGCACATAATTACCGCGGCGCGTATTTAATCCGACAAATGGTTTCAACCTTACTTGAACTTTGGCTATGGGCCATGCTCGACAGCAACAGCAACAGCAACAACAACAACTGCAACATAAACAACTTGACTGTTGTTGTTGTTGTTGTTGTTGTTGCTTTAAGCACTTTTGCGTTTCTAATAACTCATGACAGCCGCTTGAAGCCGAAAGCTTTTCTGTGGTTACATTGTAATAAACCTTGACAAGCATCGAGGAGCAATTGGGCTGCGTTGGGGGAGGGTTAGGGGTAGGGGTGAGGGTTGCCAACTGATGAGCATTGTTGCTGATGATGTCAAGTGTCTGTCTGACAAAGCCATCTGACAATCAAACACAGCGTAACCCGTGCACGTTGACGTAATAGTCCAAAGCAATCCGAAATTTGCGCGCATCCCAAAATACGAACATGCATATTCCATAATCCAAAGCAATTATTCATATGTTTAAATATTTGATATTTGATATCAAACTGAACTGAACTGAAGCTTAATTTTAAACGTTAAATCAATTAAATTAATTTGTTATTGTGGAATATATAAATCTAGTCGAGGATCTTAGTAGTAAAAACTTTTTAGTTTTTTACAAAAGGTATTATATGGGTTTCTACTCTGCTGGAGCATGTTTTTTTATTTTCTTAAATATTTTTGATGGATAAGTGTGGATAAGTTTCTTTTTATTGTTTTTTCTATTAGTTGCAGATGTCAGTAGAGAAAAGTAGAAAAGTTCTTTAACAAAAATAGGATCTATTCTATTCTTAAATATTAACGTTTCCATCGTTTCAATATTACGAATCCAGCAAAATGTCTAGCGTAATTCTCAGCGGCATGCTCCAGCGACTCATACATATACATAGAAGGGAGTGCTATACAAATGCATATGTATGCGTGAGATATATGTATGCATGTATGTGTACATATTTGGATAGATATTTGCACTTCTAGCTGAAACTGCGCCGATACTTTATCTTTTCCGGCCATCTATCTGCATAAATATACGAGCACGAAGAGAAACGCACACATTTACACTTGCTCACACATACACACACACACACATGCACACACACACATGCAGGCAGCGTCACGATCATCAGAATCAGCAGAATGAGAAGCATCGACATAGGAGCTGCCGCTGCCTCTCCCTCTGCCGCCGCCTCTGCCGCTGCTGCTGCACCCTCTCCACATGTTGCTTCATTCATCCCAAAACTGAATGCGCAGCAGCTGCCGGACTATGATAAATAAAGTAAAGTGCATTTCCGTCAAAACAAGTTTGTTCTATTAATATTTTCAATACTTCGAATTCAGACAGACGCGGCAACTTTCACTGCAGCCTCCCCGTTTGCGCAGATAACTAGAATAAAAAAAATAGCATATATACATTTCTTTCGCTTTGTGTGTGTGTGTGTGTGTGTGTGTGTGTGCAACATAATTTTAATTTGGCTGCTGCTGATCTCCCCCTAGAAATCTACAGCTGCCTAGCGGCATTTACAGTTATTTTTATTGGAGTCAAGCAGCGCGACAATTCATCCATCATTTTTTGTTATGATTTTGAATATCTCTCTCCGGTATCCTACGCCCTCCCCCTCTCCCCTTCCCACGCTCCTAAGCACTCTTATGCTCTCTTGTCTCACCATTTCTCTCTCTCTCTCTGTCTTTCTACGCTTGGCATGAGCATGTTGGCTCCCTGTCGCAGTCGCAGTCCCACTCGCAGTCGCAGTCCCAGTCCCGGTCCCGGTCCCGACAGCGTCGTTCAACAGCATCCGGTAATTATGCGACACGCTGATTAAAATGCCTGGGACTTAGGTGGGTCTGGCCTGGCACTGCCAGACCGACCTCCAAGTGAAATCTTCGCCTGCATTAACGAGTTTTCCGTGACGTGTTCAGTTCATTTTTATACTCTAGCAGCGGGTATGTCGAAAAAGTCGTCAAGTATGTACACGCACTGAAAAAGAAGAAAGATGAATGTATTAACATCTTACATTCTATCTATATAGCAGCATACACTTAGCTGATTATAGAGTATAAGCATATTACCATATAATTCATATTATCCATATGTATACCTTATACATGCATATATAATGGTAGCGTATTTGGTTTTCGGCTTGCCGTTAGCGGCTTTTCTTTCTTGTTTTCTTTTTTGTTGCTCCTCCTTCTTTCTTTTTCAAGCCTGCTGCTCTTATTCTTTTGCCTTCGCATTGCTTTGCTACACTTGATTTCCACACACACACGCGCACACACACTTACGCACACACACACACACACACTCGGAGAGACTGCAACTTCTCCTGATACTGGCCATTAGGGATCAGGTTCTCTTAGGCGCGCGGCGCGCAGGTGGGCAGCGGACTTTTAGTTTTCTGCTGTTGTTGTTGCTGCGCCTCGCCGCTTGCTTGGTTTTATCTGCAGCGCTGCAGTCGACGTCGACGTCGCGGTCGTCGTCGTCGTCGTCTTCCTCTGCATTGTTGTTCTTCTTCGCTTTGCTGTTGTTGTTGTTGTTGCGCTCTTCAGTCTGTTTCTTTCACTGTTTTTTTCTGGCATTACGCTGCACACGGCATTCGTCCTCCAACGAAAAAAAAAAAACGCGACAACAACAAACAGTATGCCACGCCCCATCCGTACGACCGGTGCAGCAAACCGCCCACCTTCACTCAAAGTCGCTGCAATTTAAAGGATTTTTCTTACAGCTATTGTTGTCGTTCTCGTTAATATTGCTGCTGCCTCCATTCAACATGCCCTGCCAGCCAATGGGGCGTATGTGCGTGTACATATGTATGCATGCATGCATGCATGCATGCATGTATGTTTATGTACATATATGCATGCACATGCACACAAACTCGCAAACTCGCATGCGATTAACGGAATTAAGACTTTGTTAAATCGTTTGGTAAGTGTTCCTTTTGTGAATGCATTTGTATTTGTATGTGTGTATATGTATTTACATTAAAAGATATACGTAGGCATATAAAATGTAATAAAATAGAAAATATGAATGCCATGTGTACGGCAGAATATCTTATAATTATTAATAAATCCATCTATTACCATAGACGGACACCAGTTTTAGTTTATTCGAATTACAGGGTATATTGTAGTCTAGCATTTGGGTTTAGAAACCATGTTCTTACTTGTTTTTTGTTTATCGTATTTCTTCTAGCCCATCGTCGTTGTGTGTGGCTTGTTGTTGTTGTTGTTGGCTTGTCTCGTTTATTGATCGTGTTGCTGTGCACACACAACGCCACACACACACACACACACACACACACACACAGGCGACGCACACGCACAGTTGCAGTTACATACGCAATTCAATGAAGAAATGCTCCAAGTCCAAGTCAATGACCCGGAAATTGTGTCTAAAAAAGCAGCAACAACAACAACAACAGCTACACCCAGCAGAAGCAACAGTCACGCAGCCAGGCAATAACAACAACAACAACAACAGCAACAGCAACAACAACAACAACAGCATCACATTGACGACTTCAGTATAAAACTTTTACCTATTCAGCAGCGCATGCGGCTGCGCCAACTGCACTGCGCCGCAGTCCAATGAACCAGCCACGCATTTGCTGCCCGCAGCTTTTGCCAGAGCTGCGATTGCAACAGCAACAACAACAACAGCACGCGTCGATAACTCGCGACAACTGCACACTGAGCAACAACAACAACAACAACAACAAGAACAAGAGAAAAAAAAAAACAAGAACAACTGCAACAAAGTCGACATCGACAATCAAAATCAACGCAATTAATGCTCATCCGGCTGGCAAAGCGCAGCTCCACAGTGAGCCCTTGGCATGTTGTACAATTTTCATAGCCGCCAGGGTTGCCAGGTCACATGTCTAATATGCATAAATATAACATATTGTGCATGTGTCGCTCCGTCTCTATGATATATGTATATAGGCTTTGATCAATTTTTATTGCATAAAATGTGTATCGAAAAAAATTAAGCACAAAAGTTCAGTGCCAGCGGGCATGTCGGCCCAATCGAACCGCAGTGGCAATCCCCTTACTTATAATGAGAATTTATGTGCTGACACGATGCGCACACAACATTTATAATCTTGCAAAGAAGAAGAATATGCAAGCTACAATTACACTGCGCTACAAAAGTATAACACATTTATCCATCATACTTGAGCATAAAACTTATCGCTAAATTTCAATAAGTTAGGTTATGTTTGTTTATGTTAGGTTAGGTTAGCTTAAGTGAGGTTATGTTCACATCTGCTGCCAGCCTTAATATAATTCTTAGAGTTCTTTAAAACTAATCAATAATTCAATCAAATTCAATTCAAACGCAAAACTTATATTCAAACATTCTCTTCTTTTCTTCCAGTTAGATTGGCTGACTAGCCCCCATTGCCAGTGCTGCCCATTGCAATGCAGAACGCATCTAATTTTCGACAGCAGCAAGTGCCACACACACACACGCATACGCACAATTGTGAATCACTTGCATATTGTTGGCGGGTCAAAGTTGCCGCAAGTCTCACGACACAATTCCGGCGTGCCCCCAAGACGAATTGCAGCAGATGCGTCGTTGAAACGAGGCCGCAGCCTGCAATTTGGAACAGGGCAACCTTAGATCTGTTGGGAATCGCCCAGAGCAATATGTATATACTATATATATGTTATATATATATATATATGTGCTTAAAAGGAACTTTTTACTGGCGCTGCTTTTATTTTCGCATTTAATGCAATTAACCTCAAACTAAATGGCAATCACTTTAATTTGTTTTAATTAAGCTTTATATGCCTACAAGTGTGTCAGCCGGCGGGCGGGGCAGGGTTGCGAGCAGGGGAGGCATTCCAAAAACAACGCCTACGTTGGCTGTTTAATGACGTGTGAGGGAAAGAGATTAAGACAGAGCGAGAGAGGGGAGAGAGAGAATGCTTTCTATTCGGATTGACTGTGTGCAAGAGGGAAAGAGAGAGAGAGAGAGATGTAGATAGTACTTTTTATTGACCCTCTAAGAGTTGGAGACAACATTCCTGAGAACAATATGATGAAAGAGAGAGAGAGAGAGAGAGAGAGAGAGAAAGAGAGAGTTCTGGCACACAAACTTGAAGATAATCTTCCTGGTGGCACTATGAGCATGTATGCGAGAGAGAGAAAGAGACAGCGCTTTTCATCCACCCTGTAAGAGTTGGAGATAACATAAAAGAAGAGGATGGGCATTGAGTACGCGCACTAAGTGGATCCTTGACATGTTCACGGAATCGAGCACAAAAGGAGCCCGGAACGCATGCGCGCGCACACGCAGCACTCGCTACTTAAGGAACGCTTAACGGATGTTTCTCTGGGCACTTGTAACCCAAACGCCCGACATTTGTTTCCTACAGATCTGGTTTGGGCCTGAGCCCTAGCAACAGCCAGCCACGCCGGCTCTTGAGTCGCGTACGTGCCCAGATGCGTGGGAATGATGTGGGACAACGAACGAGGGCGGCAACAGTCACTGCATGGAGAGGGAGGGGCGGGCGATAGGCTAGGGAAGAGGCGTGCTGGAGAGTGGACTCAAAGCGGGTATACTCGATCGAAATTTGAGACTTCTTAATGCGCCAAATTATATGCGGCGACAGCAATTCAGAGCCACATTTCGAGGGTATACACAATATACTTATATGAATATGTACATAAATATATTTACAATATTCTCCTGTAGCATATTGACAGGGCTTGGGTCCTGCCAGCTTAAGAAGAAATACGCAAGCGAAACGATGTGAAATTTATGAATGTGTACGATTACACGAGCATTTTCCACGGCCATTCTGAAACGGAGGGAAACGCCGGGGGAACACGAATGAACACGCGATCTGCAATCTGTGAAGGATCACGTCTGGAATGTGGCTTAAATTATGACTTAAATGGCGTTGGCAGTTTATGTGGCTGCCGTGTGCTGCGCCCAATGATCATTAACGCGGCTCATCATGACGATCGTGCTGCTTGCTGCGCTGCTTACTGCGCTGCTCGCTGCCTGCTGCTGAGTAGCGGAAACGACGCACTCGAGAGATCTTGACTTCAAGCTGCGTCTCGTTGGCTTTCTTTCTCAATGCTGTTTCGCCCATTCTTAAGAGGTTCAACTCCAATTTGGACTCAAACTCGGTCGCGCGGCTTTTTATGACTGCCTCTCGAGTTGTTGTTGCTGTTGCTGTAAACTGGCTGCCTGAGTTTTGCTTTATTTGGTTAGTTGACGATAAATTTTGCACAGTCGCACATTCTTAGTTACATCCTTCACAAGGTCATGCGAGTGCGCATAGCACACACATACACTGTCACGCGCATGCATGCATATATGCATGTATGCATGTATGCATGTGTGTGTGCATATGTACGCATGCTGTTGTTGTTGTTGTTGCATTTAAGCCAAGTAATCTTTAAGCAAATAATTGTAGTTGGTATGCGGTTTCTGTTTGACTGGCCTCACTGCCCGCTCTCTGCCCCTCTGCCCGTCTGCCCCTTTGCCCGCCCGCTGTCATCATTTGTACACACCGGGCTGCTGCTTTATGTTTGCACAAATTGTTAGCGTCTGCCGCAGTCGAGATACAGTTTGTTTTGCTTGTTGGTTCTTTTATTTTTCATATTTTTTTCTCCAAGCTTTGCTTCGCAGCATATTCGAAAATATCATATGTATGTGTATGTGTGTGTGTGTGCGTTTCTCTGACTGTGTAATGCAGGGCTACACTGGCCAGGCTTTCGAGCTCGAATTCGAATTCTATTTAGCTAGGACTATTGACTGTTCTGGCAATTGGAAGCTCTTGCCTGCCAGTTGACAGTGTGCACCCACTTCTTGTCAATGTTACCACCTCTTTTTTTTTATACTCTAACTATTCCACGTGTTGCGCCCTCCAGGTGCTGATTAGCTGCTTGTCTGTCTGCCTTAGCCGGCGGCGTGTGGGGTGTTAATAAGATATCAAATACCCATGTGGGCAAACTTAGAGGCAACCCAACCCGACTCTGGGCACACAAAATCTCAGCCACAGCGCACACTATGCTGCGCTGCTGGAAGAGTGCAACAAAATGAACCTACACTAAACAACAAAAGTTAGAGCTTAAAATCTATATTTAAAAATAAATAAAAGTGTATATTCTAATTCAATTTTGTATACATATTTCAACAGACTGCACTTAAGATTATTTTTGCTAAATTTTTAGGTGTTTTTATGCGGCATGCCCTATACACACATTGTTTACAGGGTATACGCCACGGCAGCTGCCAAAAGCACGACAACAAACGCCGAATGTAGCTTAAGGTTTTGTTTATTTTCGGACGGCAGCGCAGATTAAACAAGTAGGAATACCCGACTTAAACAAGTCGAAGATCAAATACACTACACTTTAAATTAAAGAACCACGTTTGACAACTTTCAAATAATGTTAATGTATATAACTATAAATATAACTTTAACGATAAGTACAGTGCATTTGCCAGTCGAATACACCCAATTGATTTGGCTTTTATTTGAGTTTAAGTTCAATTTTCAAAGAGCGCACGCGCAGGCGTAGAAACATATGCCAAGCCAAAAGCTTTGCTGTATTTCGTGCAGTGTAAAGCAGCGCAGCGCAGCGCAGAGCAGAGCGTAGCACGGTAGCCCAGTTTGTGTGTGTGTGTGTGTGTGTGTGAGCGATGACGCTGGTAAAAAAAATAATGATAAATAATAAAAAATACAAATAAAACCTGTACACAAAAAACCACAAAAATAAACCAAACACAAAGCTTCGTCATCGTCTTTTGGTGCGTGCGGCTTAACTGCAGCAAAGCAAACTGAAACTGGTCCGAGCTGGAGGAGGAGCAGCAGCAGGGTGTAGGGGAGGTGGAGAAGGGGAGAGGGGGTCGACGCAGTTGGAGTCGCAGGCATTGACAGCAAGCAACACCAAGAGCCAACGCCAACCAGATCGCATTTGCTCTCTTGCCCAATCTCGACTTGTTCTCTGTGTTCCTGCCTCGGTCGCCGTTTGGAGCAGCCCATTTGGACTTGTTGTTGTTGTTTTTCTTCTTCTTATTATTGTTGTTGTTGCTGCTGCTGCTGCTGCTGCTGGTGGAGTGTGGCAGCTCAGCTTTTGGAGTGCTGCACTTATTATTATGCGCTTCTTTTGCTTCTGTTTGCCTCTCTGCTTTTGCCTCTGCCCTTGGCTTTTTCTTCTGCTGCTTTCAGTTTTCTAGAAAAATCACAAAAACACTTTTCTTACGTCCTTTAAGGTCATTAAAAGTTCATTTTGTGTTGTTGTTGCTGCGGTTGCGAATGCCTTTAGCTCGTTTTCTAAACTCTGGCATAATATAGTTGTAGCAAGGCCAGGATCTCGCTTCTTGATCAGCAGCAATTCCCAAGTTCAAGAAGGTACAAACCTCAGGAACTTAGAGTTCCTTAGATATGAATATGGGCTGGGTTATACCATATACTCATATCGATGAAATTAATGATCAAATTTATGTCTTTCGACATTCTTTACTGCCGATACTTAGAACTCTCAAATACCCATTGAAAACACTCAGAAAATGTTTATATCTTTTATTTATGCAACAATATTATAATAATAATAGTAACAGACAAAGTAATAGTAGTAATAATAACAATGAATTTAATAATAATAATTTATTTATTAAGTAGTCCCAGTTCACAATCTGAAAAGAAAAAGAAAATCAGATTAAAGGATTATTTGTTTATTTTTATGACTCCCAACCGGATTCTCTTAATGAGTCCAAGCACTTATTAATATTTGCGTAAATCATGAGCTACTTAAATTTACAATGTAATATGATCTTGATCTGAGAAGAGATGTAGCCTCCGGCCCATTATTGACTCACTTGGGCGCTTGCATCATTCAAGTTCAGCTCGAAAGGTCGCCGGAGTTCTTAAAATATGTCATAACGGTCATATCAAAAGTGACAAAGCCGACACTTGGTGGGGATCCCCCTCCCACACAGCCTACGCAGAGAGGGTGACTTAAGCGTGACACAAAAGGGTTGCGCTTTAATTAATTAATCAAATCGGTCAAGGAATTCCACGCAAAGATCGTTGAGTCACAGATCAGATATGTCTGTATATATAAGTATATATAAAGAAAACGCATTCTTGCGTCTGATCAGGGGGTCAACTTGGATGTCAGCTTTGCCGCGTAATTTTCTCCGAATTTTTCATGAATATCAACTTAATTAACTATTAACTGTAAAGAGCCAAAGAAAGGGCTGAACGGAAATGATAATAGCCTATACGCGCACACACACACACACACACACACACATATATATTTACACATCCGTGCTAAGTCGAATATGTATGTATGTATATGTAGTTGGTAGTTATGCTGATGAAATATACATAACAGGAACTCCCTTAATATGCGTCCGTGTTTAGTTGTATGTGACTAAACTCACATGCATGTATATGCATGTGTGTGTGTGTGTGTCTGTGTGTGTGTACTTAGATTCATGCACAATCAATGCAAATGGGAATGTAAATTTTCAAATTGTAAACGCAACTCGATGTTGTTGCTGTTGTTGCTGCTGCTGTTGCTGCTGCTGTTGTTGCTGTGCGCAGATGCTCACTGAATATCAAATTACTCGGCTCGGATTCGGATCGAGTGTGTGGGATAATGTGTTTGTGTCGGTTAGATTTATGTTTATCCAAATAAGCGCAACACTCTTTTTTTCCGTTTTCTAAGTAATAGTTGCGATTGTTGCTATTGTTGTTGCTGTTGCTGTTGTTGCAGTTGCTTTTGGTCGACTTGCTGTGGGGTGCTAATAAATAAATCGCATTCGCTGTGCAAATACACACACATATACGATAACTAATATGCCAGCTAGAGTTAGTTGCGCTGTCTAAATATGCAAGCACATGCCGCTATTTACCCCGATCCATATACGCTCGATCTAGCATATTGTATGCGCACATACATAATGTATGTGGAGGCCCAGCTCTAGGCAGAGAGACCTATTCATTCATCCAAGCGTTGAGCCGGCCATCCGCAAGTTTTGTTTATTCACAATCATTTCGCGTTTGTCTTTTGATACCCTGTACTTGTGAAATGCCTAAAATTGAGGGGTATCAGCCAGTTGAGCATATGTTTAAGCTTTCTGTTGATATCATATGCATATAGTAAACGGATATTAGACATTTCTTAGCCTTAATATATTTCTTTTTCTGCTTCTGTTGTGCTCTCAAATGACAGGGTATCGTCTAGTCGCGCACATACAGCTACTAGGCGTTTCTGTAATACAGAATCTGTATGCGTAACGCAATCTATTCATAAAATAAAATTAAATGAAATACAAAAAAAATCAAAAAAACAAGAGAGAAATAAATATTTTCATTTGTAAGACCGGAAGAGCACTTCCTCTCTGTGGCTTTGCCATCAATCCCGGCACCCGCAGCAAGATAGACAACGAATACTCAGCACCATGCTGTGCCGATTGTCGTGTTGTTGTTATTGCACATGTTTAGATGCTTGTACGCATGCTAAATGGCTGCCCTATGGTGGCCCGGCCCGTGCCCGTGCACTAGAACAAACAAAGTGCATCAGCTGCCGATTCTTACATAGATATTAGTGTTTGTATGTCTGATTGCCCATATATGTATTTACATTCAAATGCGCCTGATTGTACTTACTAAACATGTTTAGTTTTGTTATTGGTCGAGAAGCCGCCTCTATCCACAATGGTCATCGGAAATGAAACACAAAGTGTGGGATTTTTGTTAACGCCCAAATATATAAAAAAATATAGATTAATACAGATGGAAACCTAACCTTATTTCAACATAACCTCATTCGATAGGAGCTGTTAAGCTATTTATATACACGTATAAATTCTGTCCAGACTGACGATTGCTGATTTTAAATCAGATGTTATTTATCATCATCTAGGTCAACAATATTTGTTTAAATGCAAATTGGAAATAGGGATCCGTACGAATTGAAATATGTATAAAATTATAAAATCCGACGATATTTACTATCGAAAAAGTTTTGATATGACGTTCCAAAACGACATAATTTCGCGCGGAAATATGACGTTCCAAAACGACATAACTCCGCGCGGAGATATGACGTTCTAAAACGACATAACTCCGCGGGGAGACATGAGAGATATGTCGTTTTTGAAACGACATATCTTCTTGAATCCCGGAGATCATGGAGATATGTCGTTTTGAAACGACATATCTTCTTGAATCCCGGAGATCATGGAGATATGTCGTTTTGAAACGACATATCTTCTTGAATCCCGGAGATCATGGAGATATGTCGTTTTGAAACGACATATCTTCTTGAATCCCGGAGTTCATGGAGATATGTCGTTTTTGAAGCGACATATCTCCCCATGTGTGACCTTCCAAATCATCACGATTTTTTTCAAAATCGAGGTCAGTGCGAAAATCGAAACTTTTTCGATGATTTTTTTTAATATCTCGAGTATTTTGGAATGTTATACTTTACCAACAAATCGATTTTTGGTCAACAACTTTTTTAAGGCCATCGATTTTTGATTTATTTGAATGCAAATTGAAAGTAGGGATCCGTACGAATAGAAAAAGGTATACAATTATAAAATCCGACGATATTTAACCGAGATATTCAAAAAAAACTTTCGAAAAAGTTTTGATTTTCGAACCGACCCCGATTTTAAGAAAAAACGTGATGTAACCCCTTGCTTTTTTGATCGATTTTGGTCAAAATTTAGATTTTCAATTTTTGAACGCCAATCGATAGTATTGCTCCCCACGAGTCAAAAATGGTACATCATTCCAAAATCGGACATTATTTGGCCGAGATATTCAATAAAATCATCAAAAAAGGTGGACTTTACCAACAAATCGATTTTTGGTCAACAACATTTTTTAGGCCATCGACTTTTGATTTGTTTGAATGCAAATTGAAAGTAGGGATCCGTACGAATTGAAAAAGGTATAAAATTATAAAATCCGACGATATTTACCCGAGATATTAAAAAAAAACTATCGAAAAAGTTTTGATTTTCGAACGTTTTGAAACGACATATCTTCTTGAATCCCGGAGATCATGGAGATATGTCGTTTTTGAAGCGACATAT